CGTCGTCGACCAGTGTTCTCCCTCACAGCGCGTGCTCCCAAACGGAAAGGGCCCGAACGGTTGGCAAATTTAAATACTTCAGCCGACCCCCCTTGCTCCGATTGCCCACTGTATTCCGCGACGAAAAATGTTACAAGGCATTTGTCTCATGCTGGGGTTTTCCGTTTGCAGCCCTCTTCGTCGCCGTTTGCTGGAGGTATACCGTCGTCGGCTAGCTACTGCCTTTCATGATCGACGTCTTTCGAAGGATGCCGCTATTGCTCCTGGTCATCCTTTTGCTTGTCCTTGTCATTTTCTTCCACGTCTACATCCTCAGCAGGGTGCCCGGACGTGAAGAAGGATGTCAACATGGACGGGCGGCAGACGAAGAGCAGGTCTTCAATGGACCACTCCAGAAGCCACCACGCAGGCCACAACTCGGCTCGCAGTACAAGGGCGTACGACCGTTAGAGTGTGTGTGTCATATGCTGTCCTCTACCCGGGTCTACCGGCTTCTCTCTTCATCGTCGTCGTAGAATTACGGCCCTGTCGTACGTGTTGTTGATGGCCGACCTCTATTGAAGGTTGCCACTGCTGCTCCTAGTCATAATTTTGCTTTTCATGGTCCTCCTGTTCCATGTGTGCACTGCTTCCTCTATCGTTGATGGCCGACCTCTATCGAAGGCCTCTAGCAGGGAAGACGAGGGATCGACACAGACTGCAGTCGACATCGACATTGGCAGTGCATGCCGCGGGCATTCGTCCACACTGGATGCAATCGTCATCGCCCGAAAGACACGTGGCGACATACGCAACTTCTCCCAAAAGTACCCTTCCGTCGCATCTGATTCATCGAATTGCTTGAGATCCTCTCATGCCCCCCCGTCCTCCTTTTCATCCACCACCTCGGCGTCGCTCGTGGAAGAACACTGCAACCCATGGCGCAGCAAACCTGAACTGCAGCCACCGTGATGGTCACGGTATCCAGCCCCTCGACCGGAACTTGATGAAGCGTTTTCCTCCTCCGCGGGCGAATCTGCGCTCTCATTCTGGCCAATGCCCTCTCCTGCTGACAACGAAAGAGCACGACCGTCACAACCATCTTCTCGATCGTCGTCAACTTCGCACGTCCGTCATTGCTGCCGCCCTCCATCGGCATGTGTGTTGCAATGCTCATGAACCACGAAAATACAAAAACCTACCAACTCGCCACGACCACGGTAACCTCAACACCAAGTCCCCGATGACGTTCCCCGCGTGTGCTTGACTCAACACATAGGCGCGACGACATGCAGAGGCGATGGCGATGGAACTTTGCGGGGCGCTCACAAATTTGTGACGACGTACGAGGACTCCACTGCACCGCTGCAAATGCTTGTTTCCACCATCGCAGATATGGATGCCTCCTGCCCCCCGTCGCCGTTGTGACGTCCAACACCCAATTTGAAATTCGATTTTCCACCGGGGAGGTCTATTGCTTTTTAAGGGTTTTTTTTCCGGTCGCCAGCGCCTTTCAAAATTTCCCTCCTTCGGCAGCTCAACCACACCGTAGCAAGACGAACATCACCCAATGGACCAAGGCATTACCCCTCCCGCGGCTGACTATAATATTATGAGAATGGCTGCCAGCGGCCGAAAGGAATCATCCGTGGGAGACCACCCCAAGGATAGGTGGAACGACGGTGGGAATTTCCTTGAAAACCCCCAAGGAAACTTCCTTCGTCCCCGAGGATGCTCCAAGGAGTGTCTAACGAGCCCCTGTATCAAAAGAAGGATTCCAGACTTCCACGATGAAGAGCCTGATTAGGAGGGCTGAAGCTGCTCTAGCGCTAGCGCCCCGATGCTGCCAGACCGGCAAGGCCCGGTCCGCCGGCTAAACTAGTGCCTGGGGGAGGGAGCCCCTCGGCCGGTAGGCCTGCACGCTCGCTCGGCAGATGCGCGTGGCGTCTTGATTGCCACGTGGCAGCTGCTGTTGGTGACATACGTGTTCCGCGGCGTGTGGACAGGGTTAACGCCTTGAACCGTGAAGTGTCGACAGATAGTGGTATAGCGGTGGCAGCTTCCAACATCAATAGCGATGGCAGAGATGGACACGGAGACCTTGGCTCAAGGGGGGCTGTGGGGAACCCCTCCTGACCTGCAGACCGTGGAGGAAGACTCCGCACTGTCCATTGTGACCTTGTATAAACAACAGCTGGAGGAGATGCACGAGGTGCTGAGTATAGAACAATGATGGCAACTTACCGGATGATATTTGTTGGAGGGAGAGGAGATCTATGTTGGGTGGGAGGAGGAACTGTACGAGAAGATTTCTCTTTGACAGCGGGATGAGGACGACAGAGCATAGGCGACGACCGCCCCTACACTAGTGCACTGGGATGCTAACGCAGGTGAAAGACATGAATGTCGGGCTTCTAGCAAGGAAACACGTGGGCGGTCCACCAAATAGCGTGACATGGACAGTATCAACAACATCAACAACATCAGCAACATCAAGAACATCAACAACATCAACAACATCAATAAGTTAAACATCAACAGCGGCAACAAGAGCAATATCGACAATTACAACATCTACAACAGCGACATCACTAGATACTTCACTCAGTGTCCAGCAACCGTGGTCTTTTGCTCAGGCGAGTGATGAATTGGGTGACGATCCCATATCGTTTGGCTATCAATCTCAGGCTGTTGTAGTAAATAATGGAGATTTGACGGATGTGGGAGCGGCGATCCGGGCGCTTGCTCCTGAAGGTTTGTTGCTAGCTGTTTCACAGTCTTACCAACAGCCCGCGGAAGGTCAAAAGGCATCGTCATCATTGTTTGACAACGGTGCTTCGGCAGAGGTAGGTGATGCGGTTTCCCCATTTGTTTTGAAAGGTTTTTTACAATTGATTCGTCATTTACCCTGCAGGCTGATGCGGGCAATGATATCATGTGTGATGAGTTACCGAGCAATGGCGACAACAGGGCCTTTTTTGATATCGCAGGGGTATGCCACTTCCCCCTAGAGGGTAATACTATCGAGCTGCGGCGTCGTACAATCATGGGGGTGGCTCAGGTAGTTGACCACGGGGGGGTTGGATTAGATGGGTTTCGCATGTGTTTTGATTGTTTTACTCCTGCGTAAATATCACCTGCCGCCGTCCTTTTTTTTAACCCTAGGGTTTCCCCTGGCCCCTCCCTGGTAGGGGGCACGATGGAGAGGAGCGAGAGGCTGGGTGGGAAATAGGGGGAGGAGATAGGACAATTAATAAGGGATGGGCAAAACTCTGGTTGGCGAAATGGCAGTGGGAAGAGTATGCACGGCAGATGTGTGATAATACTAATAATAACAAGAATGAAATATGTCGCGAATGTTGCTATCCTCTGCCAGTAATTTGATAAAAGCAATCTTGTGAGACTGATCTTCACTGGGTGAATAGCTTACGATAAGGGAGGGTAGGCAGACGTCCTCCGCTAGAGGAAAATGTGAATCATGGAGCTGGGCAGCGGCCTTATGCACAGAGGGGGCCTAGGGGTTGCTTTGCACGGCTATGACTGTGAGGAATTAGGATGATCGGAGGAGAGTTTGCCGCCCTCCCCATGGCTAGATTTTCATATATGTTGTGACCTGGCTGATAATTGGGTGGACAGTCAATCCCCTCGAGAGAGGGCAATGAATGCTGTTCCGCCAGGTATATCATCTTCAATCTTGTCAGTGGGACGCTGGACCCGGTTTCCAGCAGGTGATGCTCCCCACCAATAGATTGGAGTCATCTATAAACTGGGGCTTGCTATTGGAGGATGCTCGTATCACCTCCAATAGGAAGTTGCCACAGATGTTTCGCTTTAAAAAAAAAAAGAAAAAAAAAGAGAAAACTACAGCGCAGTCAGGGTTACAGTTTGTAATTGCATTTGAAACTGTGTTTTAGCAGTCTAGTCAGGGCCCGAGTTTCAATTGCATTTGAAAGTTGAAACTGCGTCTTAGCAGTTTGAAACTCAAGCTGGTTTTTTGGGCGTCGTTCGACACTCCTCGGGGACGCAATTTCGAGGATTTCGTTATCGTTCCACCTGTCCTCGGAGCCGATTTTCGGAACAGAAATGTGAAAACACTCCGAGGACAAATCCTCGGGCTCCGAGGATTTCCCAGCCAAATCATCCTTGGGTTCAAGGGACCTCGCGAGGTCCTTTGGAGCCCGAGGATCCGCGATTATCGGGGTGTCGGCGGCGGTCACCGAAGGGGCAACGGAGGTCGAAAGTGGTCCAGAGGTGGTTCGGAAGGCGGAAGACGGACATTCCGGGGCATGGGCGTCCAAAACGTCGAGTAACGGCCTCGTCGTTTTACTGTTGGCGGTGATCGTCGCGGGACGGCCCTGTGGCCCCTATCAGTTCGTCAGGTGCCCCGGCGGAGGTGCAGTGGCGAGCATCGGACGTCTTCGGCCGACTCCTGCAGTGGTCGGGCCGTTCCCGCGTGCTCCACAACGGTCGAAAAATACGTATTTTGTAAGCGCCCTCCTGCAGCCAGCTTCGAGATTGCATGAATTTCATTCGTTGGCGTCTTCCCTCTCGCACCGTTTGTCTCCGTTCGCCGCGCTTGCCACAGCGCGAGTGCATCTTTTGTTTCTGCTGCCCTGTCATTCATGGCAGACCTGTACCGCAGGCTGCCTTTGCTAGTGCTCGCCGTTGTGCTGCTGCTTGCCATTGTCGTCTTCCATATTTGTTGCCTCGTGCGCGTTCCAGAGAGGAAACAGACGCGGCGAACGTCGAAGACGGCCAGGAAGATGGAGAGGGTATAGACGAGGACCACGTTGTCCGTTGGGGCTGCGGGGTCGTCACGTCAGCGCTGCAGAAGGGCGGAAGCAGTCAGGCGGCCGTACGACCCCGCACTGTACAGCCACCTGCCGTCCCACGAGATACCGTTGCCTCCAANACGTCAGCGCTGCAGAAGGGCGGAAGCAGTCAGGCGGCCGTACGACCCCGCACTGTACAGCCACCTGCCGTCCCACGAGATACCGTTGCCTCCAAGTGACGATGACGGCAGCGACCCACGATGTTCTACCCTTCCTCTGGGCAGCGGTTCGACTCAGGATTGGATGGGGAGCCAGCTGCACAGGCAGGCATCGACGCCGACGTACACTGATCTGTTGGAGGGGCGTACCCCGGCTGGTTATGATGCAGGACTGGTGGATCTCAGCTTCGGATTGAGGTCCGGGAGTGCCGAGGAGGTGACGTGCACCGTTATCGTGAACCCAGCTTCGGGCAGCACCCGCACACCGGCTCCAGTGACAACGCGGACTAGCGGATCAGTTCCTTGTAGAACGACGACGGCAGGTGGCACAGCGGATGGACGACGCCCAAACGAAGAGTGGTCAGCAACGGAGGTCGTTGGTCGAAAGTTTTGGGATGATCATCGGCGACAATCGCATGAAGCGAGCACGACCGGCATAACGAGAGGGGTGGCGAAGATTACCGTGGGGGCGGACGATATATTAGGCGATGAAGATGGTGCAGTTGCGGAGGAATGCGAGGCGGACGACGGGGCCGGTGACGACGACGAGGACGACGATGAGGAGATGGAGATTCGTCCAGTAGGAAGAAAGCGGGGAGGGTCGAGGGCCGGGAAAAAGTTGTCGGAAACGCCAACGGGGCGGAGGGGGAAGAAGGGTGTGGAAGATGGGTCGGCTGGCGAGGGATCGAAAAGCCAGGACTTTTGGACCGTGGAGCACATGATTGCTCTCATCCCGGCAAAAAGAGACCAGGATTCGCATCTTGCCGGCCTCGCGCACACCACGGGAAGGATGAAGATGAAGACATGGAAGTGGGACGATGTGGAGACGAGGCTGGTGCAAATGGGGGTGACGAGTAGAAAGGCCGTCGATTGCGGGAAGAAATGGGACAACCTGTACCAGCAATTCAAAACCGTGCACAAGTTTATGGGAGAATCGGGGAAGCCAAATTTCTTCACACTAACGCCAGGCGAGAGGAAGGAGCGGGGGTTCAATTTCCTGATGGATGAGCGTGTGTATTCAGAGATGGCGGCGATGACCAGGAGCGATCACACCATACACCCCACCAATCTTGCCAACACCGGTGCGACTGGAGGTGTTCAATTGTCCGGCCCACGCGGAGGTCGGAATGAATCCGGTGGTAGTGAGGGGGGCGGGGATGGACAGGACGACGATCAGGGGTCCACGAGGGATTCTATCAGCGGCGGTGGTGTTGGCGGGGGCAGCAAACGGAAGAATGTGAGGCAACAGACCTTTGACACGATTGCAGACGTGATGAAGGAGCACGGGAGTCTGATGGCGACAACCGTGGACAGCGCGAGCAAGAGACAGTGCTCAATTCTGACTAGGCAGTGCGACATTTTGGAGCGAGAGGTTGAAGTGCAGAAGGAACACTACGTCAAGGCCGACCAGGCGAACTTGATGATGTGCGAAGCACTTATGGAGATTGCTAAAGCGATCCGCGAGCGATCGTGACGTCTCCCCGCCACGCGTGCCGTTATTGTCCTGCGTGCTGCAGTGACGAGATGTGCAGGTTGTGTACAGTCGGCTGGTTGTATTTTGGCCGCACGGCTAATTTTGCTTTTTAAGTATGCATTTATTTGATGATTTCATTGTAGAATGGGTATGATTGCTTTCATGCCCCGTGGCTCGTCCTTCGGTGTTACATTATGTCGTCTGGTTATAGAATATTACGACTGTTGTAGTGAGGCGTCGCCGACACGCATGGATGGCGAACTCCTGGGGTTTCGGAGAAGGGTGTGATTTTCGGGTGGGAGGGGGTCGTTGGTTTGGTGGGCTTTTTCGACCTCCGCCAAGGTCCTTCTGCGCGCCCACTTTCGATGTTGGCCATGTGAGGGATGACATGCGCCTGCGGAGGAAAACGGACCATGGGCGAGCGACGAAGGGGCGGGCTGTAGTGGACGGGGACTCAAGTCCACAATGTACTTTCACATCGCAGTACGTAGAAAAAGGACATTCCGCCCGCCATTCCGTACCGCAGTGGTTCCTTAGCCACGGTTCCCTCTCGCACCGTCTGCCTACCTGCTCGTCGTCGCGCGCCTGCAACTCCGCTTCGCCACTCCACGCTCCCGCATCATGCTGCGCAGACAATGCCCCTTCATGCGCATCAAACAAGTGGTCCCACGTCCCCGTCGCGACAGCTGTCCTCTTCGCCCACGTGCCACGCTTCAAGGACTTGAACGCCGCCTCCGTCCACGTGCTCCTTCATCGACGTCATCGTCTGTGGACGTGCTACTCCGCCAACGTGTTTCATCGTCCGCGATCTCCATTTCCGTCGCCATCGTCGTCGCGGCTCCACGACCACTGCTCCGTCATCTGCATCATCCACGTCGTCCTCCGTCCACGTGGAAGCACTGGGAAGCAGTAAGGCGTCCTTCTTCCGCGCGCTCTTTCGTCGACGACAGCCTTCGTTTACCTGGTCGTTGATTCCGATTTGCGGACCAGATGCCCCCACGGGGCGCCTCTGCGAGGTGCAGGAAAGATGGCGGGGGGGGCGACGGTGGGGAAACCAACAAAGGTAGAGGCCACATACCGAAGTCGAAAAGGCAGCGCATTGATGACGCCAGCTCCTCACAAACTGATGACTTCCTCGCTGACGAAGTGGCTATGGTGGATGCGCAAGGGACGGCAGGGGTCGCAAGGTTGGGTTTCGGGCGGGATGGAGTGGCGAGGGAGCAACTGCAAGCACTGAAATGCAGCGTTGTTGGCGGTGCTGCCAGGACGGTGCCAAGGACCCCAAACACGGCAGGGGTTGTCGTCACGGGCGCGTGGGTCGCGGGACAACTTTCGCCGGCGGTAGGCCAAGGTCAGCCACGTCAGTCACTCCCCTTGCAACACGTGTTGGCATCAGGGGGAGGGCACATGGCGACCGCGCAAAAGGGCGACGCGACGGCTAGCGCCAGTCGGGCGGCGGCGGCAGATCACACAACTAAAGGAGGGGTCGTCGAAGGTGCAGAAAGGGGGGGGGTCGAAGACATTGGCCGTGACGATGGCCGAAGAGACGGAAAGCGGGAAGGCAATGATTACGACGACCGTCCACTTCTGCCGAGGGGGAAGGGAGCGCCGAAGGAGGACGACCTGGAAGAGAAGGCCAAGTTGTGGGTTGATTGCGACGCTTTCTGGGGTCAGGGTCCCGGGAAACCTCTGAGGGAGGCGGTAGGCGAATGCACCGACTACTTCGTCGCCATCGCCAAYGGAGACGCAGGAGTTGAGCCGTCGTCGATGCTCATCATGCCGCCGAATGACGTGCCGCGCTTCAAGATCGACGACCCGGCGCAGCGTGATCCGGCTCTCCRCAGAGCGCGCAGCGTGGAGAGAGTAGTGYTGYGCACCATCCACGGTTGGATCTTTAAATCGCAGTCGAGGTCGACTGGCTTCTCTCGTGCAGAGTCCTACATCACCGTCGACTTCGCCACGGACCTCGCACGAGCAGTTTGGCAGGCCTTGGAATGGTSGAGAGTGGTATCCCCTGCACTCGTCTACCACACGTTGGCGATGAAGATGGACGTGCCTCTGTGGTTCGCGGGGGTGAAGATTGAGGACCGCCCGGAAGACGACGATATCGCGGCGCGGCAGGAGGCGACAATTCTTCTGTTGGCGGAGTGTCGGACAGATGCGATCTGGTGCGGACAGCGGGCGGATGGCGGGCGCGTAAAATAGGAGAGGTTGTCCAGGCTGGCAGACAGTCTGTGAGCGTTGTTGTGCGCGGTCATGTGGATCATGCGCATGGGAGGTGACGACGACCGATCGCATTACGAGGCATGGTCGTACGCGTCCATGGTCGCGAAACCGACGATGATAGAGATGGGGTCGTACATCTTCAACTGGCGCCGACACGTGGTGGACTCCGCCAACCTCGTCCTCGATCGTCTAGGCAAGGCCCACCTGACGCAAGGAGATTACCCGCAATGCATTCCGGAATGGTGTGATTGCGGGTTGGCATTCGGGTACAACGCTGCCCTGAAGAACGCGGCGGAGGCCGCAAAACAGGGGTGGATCGGCAGCGGGCCCGCGGCGGATGACGATGGAGATGATGGCAAGTGACACGTCATCTCGAGCAGATGGCAGCGGGTTGGTTCGCATCGTCGGTGCTTCGTCGACGGTGGTGACGAGAGGAGGAAGTGTGCGCCTTCAAGTGGACACGGTAGCGCAGAGGCGGGAAGGGTGTTGCCAGGTGCTGGGGGTGGGGGGTGTGGCGAATAGGTGAGGTGGCAGGTCCTGCGCAGTAGTCTGTCAAGGCGGAGGTGCGGAAACATCTCTCACCACGTCGGCAGATGGCTCTGTATTACGTGTGTTGTGAGCGGCTCCTATGTTTTTTTTGTTTTTTTTTTCATGTAGTCTTTTAGGAATTGGAGCACACTTTCTGGTCGTGCTCCACAAAAGGGTTCGTTAATCATGGGGGTGACACGTGGCAGCACTGCGCAAACGGCAGGATAAGTTTGTCCTTCGTGGTTCGCGATTGGAGGGTGGATAGTGGGGAGGGAGTGTGGATAGGTAGGAGAAAAGTCGGTCACCGCCATAACTTTTTCTGTACTTCAACGGATTTTATGCAATCATTTCTGTTTCTGTGTGAACGTCGTGTGACTGTATGCTTCTTATTGCTCAGGCACTGCTGCTTTTCTTCTGTTGTATGCGGGTTTATCGTTCACGATAATCGTTAATGATCGTCTGAATCGCGTCCACAGCTTCTATTCTCATGCTCTTGTTATTCCTCATCGCCATGTCGTCCACAACTTCTGTTCATGTTGAACACCACAGATAAAGGGGAAGAGAAAAAAAAAACGAAAACAAACAATGCACGAACCCATCGAAAATATCACAAGAGAGTTGTCAACCATTTCCCAAAATATGAACCCATCACGAGAAAACTGTTTGTTGATTACATTTCATTCCATGCACGTGGTCCTCATCAGTTCAACATCGAAGCTTCACCAACAGCATCAACCGAACGCCGAGTACTGCAGACAACATGCATCATAGACGCTACATGTGGTGGACAGAAAACACGTGCCATCAAAAGACGGACAGCAGCATGACGCACGACGACGACCTCACACAAATAAACAAAAAAATACAAATATCTTATAATTTGAAGCAAAACAGCGATCCAAAGCACATGCGAAATAGAGGGGTGTCGACCTGCTCCGCGCCGCCACCCAACAAGCACCGAAAAACCCCTCCCCTCCCCCCCCCCCCCCCCCCCCCCCCTCACATTTCCCATCCCCATGCCCACGCATTTGCGCGGGAACACCGTCGCGGCAAGGACGACATCAATGAACAACGAAAAAAAAATAACAGCGACGTCACTGCCGATCACCCACGGCAATTGAGCCGCTTCACTGTCGAGCACCCACGACTTGGAGAAGCACACTACCGTCGACTACAACAACAAACACCTACAAACGAATCGTCCGCCTACTGCAAACCCTGCGAGCTAACTCCACGTCATCGTTCGCGACTCCACGACGGACACACACGGTTTTTGTCTGTGTACGAGAGGCAGAGTGGCGCGACACGCACGATCAGATGTGTTTCATTCGCTCCGCTAGGGCATTGCAGAGCGCGTGTGCGGCGTCCGTCGATGTCAGCATCGTCACTGGCTGTAGTGGACGATGCATCCCCAGGTCCACTCGTCGCCTCACCCCGTTCTCGTCGACCTCCCACAACAAGTTCTCGTCGAACTCGATTCCAGCATCGAGCAGGACGTTGTGGAGAATGCAGACGGCCGTGAACTGCTGCGGTAGAGTGTCCAAGTTCGTTTTGTGCGACCGAAGGAAGAGCCTCCACATCCCCTTCAACCTCCCGAACGCCCTCTCCACAGCACCTCTAGCGGCCTTTTGTTTGTTGTCGAACCTTTCCTCGTCTGGGTGCTGATTGATTCCTCCGTACGGCACCACTATACATTCTGAAGGAGGATACCTGTTGTCGCCCAAGATGTATCCATTCGTCCTCACCCCTCCCGACAGCGTTACAGGCGGCCCGCGAAAAAGCGTTCCCTCTTCCTCCCGCCTCGACAGACTTGACAGCTGGATTACCCGAATGTCGTGGCAGCTGCCCGGGTAGCCAACGAAGACGTCAAGCACACGCAGATTCAGGTCCACCACCACCTGCGCAATGACGGAGAAACGGTGCTTGCGGTCGAAGTAGTTCTCGCTCGAAGCGTTCGCCAGTTTGTCCACGTAGATGTGTGTGCAGTCAACTGCGCCATGGCAGTTGGGAAAGCCCTTGTCCTGAAACGCCCATAGCACCACCTGTTTACGCACCCCCGTCGGCCACGATATCCTGTCCCCGTAGACCCTCGACAACGCGGCTGTCACATCGCGCACGGCTCGAACTCCGGATGATCTGCCAATGTCGAACGATGATGTGCTGTTGTCGTACGACTCTCCTGTTGCCCACCTATACAGCGCGTACGCGACGATTTGATCCGGCTGAAGCGGCTCCCTGTAAAACGTGACCTGTCGTTGAAAATGAGGTGCACAGGCTTCGGTGATCTCCATGAACACTCTCCTCGACATGCGGAGCTTTTCCCGGAAGTGGTCATCCGTCGCGTCATCGCACACCCACAAATCCTCCCAAGTCCCGCCAGTTCTCTGCCTCATCCACCAACGTGGCGTCGCCCTGGGAAGCACACCGGAGCCGATTGCAGCGCAAAGCTGAGCCACGGCCTCCGAAGTCGTGATGCAGTCCGGGGCGTCCAACACCCTCTGCAGCAGAAGCCTGTGTCGCCGCCTGGAAAGCGCTGCCTTCATGCGGCCCGCCGCCCTCTCCGCTTCGTATCGACGGACTACGGCAACGGCAGCTGCCGCGACAGCACAGCACGGCCACCCCCATCGCATCCCTCCATTCGCGCACGTCCACGAGGAAGAGCAACGTCCACTGCCACCCACCTGCGCGAATGAACGTCCGCGACGACGACCGAAGACGCCTACGACGAGGTGTGGAAGACAGGCGTGATGACAAAAATCACACGGCGATGGGCCCAGAGCGTTCGTCCTCCGTCCCTGAACCACGGAAGCGCAACTCGCATGCACGTGGCCAGCGCAGGAGCTGACACGCCGCTTCGTTTTGCCTGCAACGAACACACTACACACGGTGGCGGCGCGGTGCCGTTGAAGTACGACATGCGACGTCAAGCCTGCGCGCTCGTCCCCCAGTCGACGTGCTCTTCCGCCTGTGCGCCGCCACACTGTCGTTCCGCACGGAGAAAATTCGAATTTCGAATTTCGAACGGGGCCGTTCCCGCGTTCGCAATTTTATTTTCCACGGCCCGTGACGTATTGCCGCCGTCCGGCTGGTGGACCACCGCGCCTCGCAAACGGACATCCCGAATCGGAGGTCGGACAACATCCTCGCGGCCGTCTATAATCTCATGAAAATGGCCACGGGACGGCCCCGAGGATGCATCCTCGGGGCTACTCTCCGAGGACAGGTGGAACGACGCCTCCAAAAATCAAAAAAATCTCCGAGGATTCGTCCTCGGAGCTCGAGGACGCGCCGAGGAGTGTCGAATGACGCCCTTTCTAGCAGTTCAGTCAGGCACATGGCCGTTTCTTTCTTTCTTCGGGTTCTTTTTTTTTTTTTTTTTTTTTT